TTTGTGTGATGTTTAGATGGACATCATTTGACCTCACACATCCTGTTTTTGTGTGCTGTTTCGTTGGACATCATTTGACCTCACACATCTTGTATTTTTGTGTGATGTTTAGATGGACATCATTTGACCTCACATAACCTATATTTTTGTGTGATGTTTAGATGGACATCATTTGACCTCAAATAACCTATATTTTTGTGTGCTGTTTCGTTGGTCATCATTTGACCTGACACATCCTATATTTTTGTGTGATTTTTAGTTGGACATCATTTGACCTCACACATCCTATATTTTTGTGTGATTTTTAGTTGGACATCATTTGACCTCACACATCCTATATTTTTGTGTGATTTTTAGTTGGACATCATTTGACCTCACACATCCTATATTTTTGTGTGATGTTTAGATGGACATCATTTGACCTCACATAACCTAAATTTTTGTGTGATGTTTAGTTGGACATCATTTGACCACACACATCCTATATTTTTGTGTGATTTTTAGTTGGACATCATTTGACCTCATACATCCTATATTTTTGTGTGCTGTTTCGTTGGTCATCATTTGACCTCACATAACCTATATTGTTGTGTGATGTTTAGTTGGACATCATTTAACCTCACACATCCTATATTTTTGTGTGATTTTTAGTTGGACATCATTTGACCTCATACATCCTATATTTTTGTGTGCTGTTTCGTTGGTCATCATTTGACCTCATACATCCTGTTTTTGTGTGCTGTTTCGTTGGACATCATTTGACCTCACACATCTTGTATTTTTGTGTGATGTTTAGATGGACATCATTCGACCTCACACATCCTGTTTTTGTGAGATGTTTAGTTGGACATCATTTGACCTCATACATCCTATATTTTTGTGTGATGTTTAGATGGAAATCATTTGACCTCACATAACCTATATTTTTGTGTGCTGTTTCGTTGGTCATCATTTGACCTGTCATAACTTATATTTTTGTGTGCTGTTTCGTTGGTCATCATTTGACCTGTCATAACTTATATTTTTGTGTGATGTTTAGATGGACATCATTTGACCTCAAATAACCTATATTTTGTGTGCTGTTTCGTTGGTCATCATTTGACCTGACACATCCTATATTTTTGTGTGATTTTTAGTTGGACATCATTTGACCTCATACATCCTAAATTTTTGTGTGATTTTTAGTTGGACATCATTTGACCTGACACATCCTATATTTTTGTGTGATTTTTAGTTGGTCATCATTTGACCTCATAAATCCTATATTTTTGTGTGATGTTTAGATGGACATCATTTGACCTCACATAACCTAAATTTTTGTGTGATGTTTAGTTGGACATCATTTGACCACACACATCCTATATTTTTGTGTGATTTTTAGTTGGACATCATTTGACCTCATACATCCTATATTTTTGTGTGCTGTTTCGTTGGTCATCATTTGACCTCACATAACCTATATTATTGTGTGATGTTTAGTTGGACATCATTTAACCTCACACATCCTATATTTTTGTGTGATTTTTAGTTGGACATCATTTGACCTCATACATCCTATATTTTTGTGTGCTGTTTCGTTGGTCATCATTTGACCTCATACATCCTATATTTTTGTGTGCTGTTTCGTTGGTCATCATTTGACTTGTCATAACCTATATCTTTGTGTGCTGTTTCGTTGGTCATCATTTGACCTCACACATTCTATATTTTTGTGTGCTGTTTCGTTGGTCATCATTTGACCTCATACATCCTATATTTTTGTGTGCTGTTTCGTTGGTCATCATTTGACTTGTCATAACCTATATTTTTGTGTGATTTTTAGCTGGACATCATTTGACCTCACACATCCTGTTTTTGTGTGCTGTTTCGTTGGACATCATTTGACCTCACACATCTTGTATTTTTGTGTGATGTTTAGATGGACATCATTTAACCTCACACATCCTATATTTTTGTGTGATTTTTAGTTGGACATCATTTGACCTCACACATCCTATATTTTTGTGTGATTTTTAGCTGGACATCATTTGACCTCACACATCCTGTTTTTGTGTGCTGTTTCGTTGGACATCATTTGACCTCACACATCTTGTATTTTTGTGTGATGTTTAGATGGACATCATTCGACCTCACATAACCTATATTTTTGTGTGCTGTTTCGTTGGTCATCATTTGACCTCACACATCTTGTATTTTTGTGTGATGTTTAGATGGACATCATTCGACCTCACATAACCTATATTTTTGTGTGCTGTTTCGTTGGTCATCATTTGACCTGTCATAACTTATATTTTTGTGTGCTGTTTCGTTGGTCATCATTTGACCTGTCATAACTTATATTTTTGTGTGCTGTTTCGTTGGACATCATTTGACCTCATACATCCTATATTTTTTGTGCTGTTTCGTTGGTCATCATTTGACCGGTCATAACCTATATTTTTGTGTGATTTTTAGTTGGACATCATTTGACCTCACACATTCTATACCCTCGTTGTAAGAAGAAACATTCCCATGGTAATTTCCGTTGTTAGAAGTAACATCCCCCGTGGTAGTTCCCGTTGTTAGAAGTAACATTCCCGTGGTAGTTCCCGTTGTTAGAAGTAACACCCCCATGCCTATTTCCGTAGAAGTAACATCCCCGTGGTAATTTCCGTTGTTAGAAGTAACATCCCCGTGGTAATTTCCGTTCTTAGAAGTAACATCCCCCGTGGTAGTTCCCGTTGTTAGAAGTAACATCCCCGTGGTAGTTCCCGTTGTTAGAAGTAACATCCCCGTGGTAATTCCCTTTGTTAGAAGTAACATCCCCGTGGTAGTTCCCGTTGTTAGAAGTAACACCCCCATGCCTATTCCCGTAGAAGTAACATCCCCCGTGGTAATTCCCTTTGTTAGAAGTAAAATCCCCGTGGTAGTTCCCGTTGTTAGAAGTAACACCCCCATGCCTATTTCCGTAGAAGTAACATCCCCGTGGTAATTCCCTTTGTTAGAAGTAACATCCCCGTGGTAATTCCCGTTGTTAGAAGTAACATCCCCGTGGTAATTCCCCTAGAAGTAACATACCCGTGGTAATTCCCGTTGTTAGAAGTAACATCCACCTTGGTAATTCCCGTAGAAGAAACATACCCGTGGTAATTCCCGTTGTTAGAAGTAACATCCCCGTGGTAGTTCCCGTTGTTAGAAGTAACATACCCGTGGTAATTCCCGTTGTTAGAAGTAACATCCCCGTGGTAGTTCCCGTAGAAGAAACATCCCCATGGTAATTCCTTTTGTTAGAAGTAACATCCCCGTGATAATTCCCGTTGCTAGAAGTAACACCCCCATGCCTATTTCCGTAGAAGTAACATCCCCGTGGTAGTTCCCGTTGTTAGAAGTAACATCCCCGTGGTAATTCCCGTTCTTAGAAGTAACATCCCCCTTGGTAATTCCCGTAGAAGTAACATACCCGTGGTAATTCCCGTTGTTAGAAGTAACATCCCCGTCCCATGCCTATTTCCGTAGAAGTAACATCCCCGTGGTAGTTCCCGTAGAAGAAACATCCCCATGGTAATTCCTTTTGTTAGAAGTAACATCCCCGTGATAATTCCCGTTGCTAGAAGTAACACCCCCATGCCAATTTCCGTAGAAGTAACATCCCCGTGGTAGTTCCCGTTGTTAGAAGTAACATCCCCGTGGTAATTCCCGTTGTTAGAAGTAACATACCCATGGTAGTTCCCGTAGAAGAAACATCCCCATGGTAATTCCCGTTGTTAGAAGTAACATACCCATGGTAGTTCCCGTAGAAGAAACATCCCCATGGTAATTCCCGTTGTTAGAAGTAACATCCCCGTGGTAATTCCCGTTGTTAGAAGTAACATCCCCGTGGTATTTCCCGCCGTTGGAAGTAACATCCCCGTGGTATTTCCCGCTGTTAGAAGTAACATCCCCCGTGGTAGTTCCCGTTGTTAAAAGTAACATCCCACGATGCCATCCCCATTACACCTGTATACCTCTGTATTCGCAGTTACTCTGAATATAGTCTGAAGTTCTTGGCTATACAATATGTCAGTTTACTTCATAATATTAAGACCTACATATGTAATAGCTGGTTCCAGTTAACCTCGTGACATGTGAAACAAACAGCTGGTCCAAGTCGAACATGTGACATGTGAAACAAACAGCTGGTCCAGGTCGAAAATGTGACATTTGAAACAAACAGCTGGTCCCAGCCTACCACTTGACAGTTGGACCAAACAGCCGGTCCCAGCCTACCACTTGACAGTTGGACCAAACATTTTGGTCAGTCTACCCCTTGACAGGTGGTTCAAACAACTGGTCCCAGGCGACCACTTGACAGGTGGACTAAATAGCTGTTTCCAGTCTTGCACTTGACAGGTGGACCAAACAGCTGGTCCCGCTCTACCACTTGACAGGTGGACCAAACAGCTGGTCCCAGTCTGCCACTTGACAGGTGGACCAAACAGCTGGTCCCATTCTACCACTTGACAGGTGGACCAAACAGCTGGTCCCTGTCTACCACTTGACAGCTGGTCCAAACAGCTGGTCCCAGTCTACCACTGGACAGGTGGTCCAAACAGCTGGTCCCAGTCTACCACTTGACAGGTGGACCAAACAGCTGGTCCCTGTCTACCACTTGACAGGTGGACCAAACAGCTGGTCCCTGTCTACCACTTGACAGCTGGTCCAAACAGCTGGTCCCAGTCTACCACTTGACAGGTGGTCCAAACAGCTGGTGCCAGTCCACTATGAAGCAGATGGTCCAATTTAGCGCCGACTCTTGAGTCAAACGCCGATCAAGTTCCTACTAGACTAATATGCCAAATAAAATTGATTTAATAATCGATGATGTTTTATTGTAGGTAAACATGTCTCAAATTCTACTGAATCTAAAACATGGATGTTCAGTACCCAGGGGACGCTTTGCTACACGATCCATAGCGGAAGTTTGTGGATGTGGTCAAGCTAAACGCCGAGTCAACTTTCACTACGTCTCATCCGCCTTGACTAGACATCGAATCGCTATGCCATTTAGTACATCGGTCAAGTCTAGCCAGAAACATCATATCAGAAGTGACCTTCAGGGATCAAAACGTGTAATAGTTAAACTTGGCAGTGCTGTAATCACAAGGGAAGATGAATGTGGCTTGGCTCTCGGAAGACTGGCCTCCATTGTAGAACAGGTATTTATTCTGTATATGTCATTACCTTTGGTCTGGTAGGTTAGTTTTTCGACGGTACGTCAGTAATCCTGAAATCAAGAGACGATCTACATGACAACTAAACAAACTGCAAATAGAACTGAAAATGCATTGAATTTCAAATGAAGGAAAATTTACGCGATGAAAATTGAGAAAGGAGACCACGTGTTCTAGAGTAATAATCGCTTTCTGCTTCACAGACGACACCTCTCACTTAAGACGAGGTCAATGCAGAAATGTACAACATTTCAAAGACATAAATGGGCAAATTACAAAGCCATACTTGATATTTTAAACACCAGGATGTATTCAAATTGTTTCACATTGCACAGACACACATAAAGAGAGGGTTCTATGGCTTTACATCATAAAAGAGAATTAGATATATTTCCCAATGTCATCACACATTCCTCTTAGCTTTCATCATAATCATCCCTGGATATCTTGATTTAAGTATGTTCGAAATTTCTCAACTTTTACATAAAAAATCTCGAACAAGTCCTAGAGTATCAAATCAGCTGTGCAATGTAAACAATACAGGTTAAGGAAGGATGGTTGTAGATTATTGAAAAAATTCACGACAGAGCTGTACAATGTATAAGAGTAGACGTATAATTTAGATAAGGCTTTCAAGCTCTTGGTAGCATATCAAATATCTTGTATCCTAAAAATGCGTGTCATCTGCATATCGTAAAGTTCCGAAAGTGTACTGAAGGATTTGTCGATGTCGTTTTTACCTGTTCTGATAAGCATTCGATGAATGCAGTCTTGAACGAAAACCTAATCAAGTTGGTCAAGAGAGGAGCAAAGTTTTCAGGGTTATGTCATGTTGTTTGATGATATATATATATATGATAATGTGTCCACTTTGTCAGGTGTCCGAGTTACAAAATCGTGGCAAGCAAATGATGATGGTGACGAGTGGGGCCATAGCGTTCGGCAAGCAGCAGATGAGACAGGAACTCGTCATGTCCATGAGTGTACGACAGACACTGGCGAACACCAACAGACAGGTATATTTATAGATTTGTAAGAATTCCTTTGGTTCTTAGTAATTAGCAAATTCATGGTTTGTTTTCATTGTGATATGATTAAAGTTCTTTTGTAATCAAAGAATTTCATTTTTGTTGTTTTATCACAAATTGCCCAACGGATGTAAAATATATATATAAAGTAAAGCAGATGCTAAAAGTCAAATGTTTTTTTATTATTTATAGGCTGGTCCTCTGATAGAGCCACGGGCATGCGCAGCGGTGGGGCAAAGTGGTTTGATGTCACTTTACGAGGCGATGTTTATGCAATATGGTGTCAAAACTGCACAGGTCAGTTCCATACAGCCTCGATAGCTTCAGCTTTGGAAGTTAAGCTTATAGCTGTTAAATGAATATATTTTAGTTGAATATTCTAGTTGTACATCTTTAGTCAACATCACCATTTACTTGATAATGAAATCCATCGATCCCTTACTGCCAAAACACGGAAAGACTTGGATATTGTCAAACATAAGTTCATTGGGAAAGCTTAAACAAGAAACACAAGTCTTATTCATTTTGAATCTGCTATTTTCTGTTAGATAATTGGAGAGACTATTAGGAAGGTTTTGCCTAATACATCATATTACATATCCCAACGTACACAGTAGTTGGATACATAAGATGTGAGTGATACAAACAGTTGTGATAAAAGATAAATTCCATTATTGTAATGATATGCATTTTGGAGTTGCCCTTTAATAGGTGCTGATAACGAAACCTGATCTGTATCACGAGTCAAGTCGAATGAACCTAATTGAAACTTTGATGGAGCTACTCAGATTAAACGTGATACCAATCCTCAACTCTAACGACGCTGTGTCGCCGCCACCACTAGCCGATCAAGACCTGGCCGGGGTAAGGTCTCAACTGAATGATGATGATGACAAAATCGTAGTGATATCGATTAATATAAATAATGACAGCACTAAGTGTATTAGAAGTTTTTAGATTTTGTTCCTTTTTTATTTACAGAAATACGATCTTACTACATTACTAAAACATATTTCCTGCTTCTGTCCAAGGAGGCAATTCCTCATCTTGTATACCTGACGTTAAGACAATTTTCACTTTATATTTAATTGTCAGGGTATAATCCTCTTGTTTTTTTTTGGTCAGTTAGTGAGATATCATTCCTTGCGCTATTTGCTGAAATAAGACTTTCTTTATCACTTAGATTTAGTGTCCATTTGTAGTCCGCTCGGTCCATTTTGGTCGTACATTTACAGGTGATCAGTCTGAAAGACAATGACAGTCTAGCTGCCCGCCTTGCTGTGGAAATAGATGCTGACCTGATGGTCATTATGTCTGATGTAGACGGACTATACAATCGACCCCCCTCCATGGAAGGGTCGTGTCTACTCCACACATTCTGCCCCACCAAGCATGGAGCTGGGGTCGTGTTCGGGGAGAAGTCACGAGTAGGGCTTGGTGGAATGGAATCTAAGGTAACAATGAGAAAAATAGTAATGAATTGGGTATTCTGGGTAGTCTTTTGATAGGAGCTGGAAGTGAGACAACAGAACGATTTTATTTGGCAACATGTATCGTGACAATGATGCAGCCTTGTATAGCCACTAGACCCACTAAATAATTCAAAATTTCAAAACTATACATGCTTTCAAATATTGATGAATTGCTCTGTCAAAAGAAAATATTTCATTCTTTCCTATCTTCTTTTTTTACACTTTCGAATTTCTTCTTGATTTGTGATTTATTTTTCGTTTGTCGTTTAGGTACGCGCTGCTACCTGGGCGTTGGAAAATGGCGTCTCCGTTGTTATTTGTAATGGGATGGAAAATCGAGCCATAGTCAATATCATAGATGGGAAAAAGATTGGAACGTTTTTCACCAAGGAAGAGCCAAAAGGGGACAATGTAGAGGAGCAGGCCTTACGAGGTAGGTAATACAGTGGTCATACAACGTAGGTAATATTGTGGTCATATCACGAAGGTAATATTGTGGTCATACAACGTAGGATATTGTGGTCATACAACGTAGGTAACATTGTGGTCATACAACGTAGGATATTGTGGTCATACAGTGTAGGTAACATTGTGGTCATACAACGTAGGTAATATTGTGGTCATACAACGTAGGTAATATTATGATCATACAGTGTAGGTAATATTGTGGTCATACAACGTAGGTAATATTATGATCATACAGTGTAGGTAATATTTTGGTTATACAACGTAGGTAATATTTTGGTTATACAACGTAGGTAATATTTAGGTGATACTGGGTAGGAAATATTTTTGGTCAAACAGGGTAGGAAATATTTTGGTCATACTGGATAGGAAATATTTTGGTTATTAACGTAGGAAATATTTTGGTCAAACAGGGTAGCAAATATTTTGGTCATGCAGCGTATGATATTGTGGTCATACAACGTAGGTAATATTGTGGTCATTATTTTTGGTAGCACTGTGCGTGGTCAAATTTGTGAATTTCATAGCTCCAAGGAATAATGTTTACAATAGTTTATATAGAAAAAGTACATTTTTTGACATAAATTGTTCAATTTCCGTTGGGAATATTTCAGCCTTAGTTATTATTATAAGTTTAGGGTGACGGCTTAGTGGTGTGCACATATTGATCATGGCTGACCCTCTGTGGATGAAGGGCGGACCAAAAAGGGTCAAACTGATGTAACATACCATGGTAGTTCCCGTAGAAGAAACATCCCCATGTGTTATTTCAACAATTCTTTTGCAAGCACAATCGATAAATATCATCTCTGTTGCCTCTACGTCTAAGTTGATAAATATATCAGGACGGACATTCAGTTTAGTTCAGTGTAGTTCAGTCTTATTCCGGGGTCCTTACAGCCCATAGGTTTACATGAATATTGTACATACATGTATAAACATGTTATAATTGACCTATATGGAGAGTGAACTCCCTTGACGAGTATGCTTAATAATGTATAATAAACATATACAACTTCACATAAATACATAAACAGAATGTAACCAAATCATAAAGCACATTCTCACACACACCCTCACATGAACGTTTACATACATTGTTAACACACATGCTTAAGTGAAAACACTCCAGTACATTACATTGTGAGGTTGTTCCAATATTTTGACCAGTTTGCATGAAATCTTTACAGTGCGTCATTGAGTTCAAACACTAATACATGTACAATGAATAAGTAAGAAAGTTTACTTTTCTTCGTCACCGACAGCACGAGAGGGTAGCAGACTTCTTCAGACTCTCGCACCAAATCAACGTGTTGCAATTATCAACCAACTGGCGGACTTATTGATAGAGCGGACGCAAGAAATACTGGCAGCAAACAGGCTAGACGTCAGTTTGGCGGAAGAGAAAGGTAGTTTTGACTGCCATGATATATGTATTTATGGCAATACTGAAAAAAATAGTTTGTTGTAATGAATCTGACAAATGATGATGGAGACCATTATGCTTTGAAAATTACTATGTACTAATTGATTAAAACAAACAAAAAATCAAGATGATTACTAAAAAAACTATCATGCCATACGCCATAATAATAAGATAGGAGAAGTAAACATCTTAACGTAAACAATACATCGGTTCAATAACTCAAACACATCAAGGGCAATAACTCTATTAATTGTTGAAGGTATTGAAGCACCACTTCTTGCTCGTCTCGCCCTCACTGAAAACAAGCTACAGACTCTAGCTGTTGGGCTACGACAGATCGCCACAGCTAGTGAAAACACCGTCGGGAGGATAATACGGCGAACACAGTTGGCCAACGGGCTGGAATTACAACAGGTGACGGCACCTCTCGGCGTGCTTATGGTCATCTTTGAATCAAGACCTGATGCTTTACCACAGGTATAAATATATATTGTCGATTAGAGTTTATCCTCTTGAAAAAATGCTTATAATGCTGTTCTGACTGGGCAGTATTTAATGGTCAATCTCCCAGTACAGTCGGTATATCCGATATGTCGATGATACTGAAAAGATCAGATTTCACATTTGTATTAAGGCATGCGGAATATTAGTTTGCACTTAAAAACTTTGTCCTTGTGATTGATTTTGACATAATCTTGAAAGATGTAACAAGGGCAAGGATATTGGTATCATTCGAATTGAAAGGTTGTTCCAACTCAAAGATTATACTATTTTACAAATTAGCTAAAGAGAACTAACGACCATAGTCATGCTCATTATTTGAGAATTAATTTTTTTTCATGATATTGTGCCTTTAAAACAACAAAACAATATCACCATATGAACATAATCATATTACAAACTCAATAAAATAAAGCCAAAATATAGAAAAGAAACATTTACAATGAGACTCCCGACAAAGAAAAATGAGGCAAATACTAGATGTTTCGCAAGCGTAAGCGTCATCAACTTCATCGGCGACACCTGATCAATCCAAAAATGTAATGTCAATGGAACCAACAGGCAGACTTACTAGCATAAGACACGTCCGGCAAAGCCTAGTTAACAAGCAGAAACAATTAATGAAGGATATACGCATATTATTACCGAGTTTTACAATAAAAAAACATGGGGTTTTATGGGATGAAACCAAAGAGACAAAAAAAGGGAGGATTGTTTATAGAAGGATTATTAAAATTTCAAACATTGTTCTTCCATTTAAAACACATCTGTAGTTCCTTCCTCTTATCAACTACTTGGAGGATTATGGACAATGGGAAGTGCTTTTATCGGTGACCGAACTCAAGGTACCCTGTCCATCTGCAGTAAACGGGAAATCTCTCTGACGCGGAATGGGAAGTGCTTTTATTGGTGACCGAACTCGAGGTGCCCTGTCCACCTGCAGTAATAGGAAAATGTCTCTGACGCGGAATGGGAAGTGCTTTTATTGGTGACCGAACTCGAGGTGCCCTGTCCACCTGCAGTAATAGGAAAATCTCTCTGACGTGGAATGGGAAGTGCTTTTATTGGTGAATAGTCCACCTGCAGTAATAGGAAAATCTCTCTGACGTGGAATGGGAAGAACAGTCTATTTACAATTAAAACTTAAAGCTAAAGTTGTATTCATGTATTCCTACATCTGCTTTTCTTGTTTAAAAAAAAAACTTTCTGTTCGCTTCTGCAGGTTGCCGCCCTGGCTATCAGCAGTGGAAACGGTCTCCTACTTAAAGGTGGAAAAGAAGCTTTCCACAGTAACAAGCTTCTCCATGGTCTGGTCCAGGAGGCCCTACAATCACATGTTCCTAAGGAAACCGTCTCCCTGGTAATGACTCCCTGTGATCTACAATAACTATTTTTGTGTCACGTTTTAGGGTAATGTCACCCTGTTTTCAACAGTATGTAGTGCTGTATAACATCACCTTTTTGTCAACAGTTTTTAACATTATCAGTAGTTTCCAACTTGTAGATCGGGAAGGGTGAGTTTCTGAGTGAGTCAAGTGGGAAATCAGGGTTTTTATGGAAAATACTGTCAAAACCGGTAACCACAGCCAATAACATATTGAATATATTTAGTTAAATATCTGTTTTCATACATGATAAAAATACCACTATTATCCTTTTGATGTTTGCGAAACGACGCTGAAGAATTAAGAATGAAGTAGAATGTTTTTAGCATCGATGCTAAATCCCCCGTACAAAACACGTGGTTTGAGTAAAACTGAATCTAAATATACACTTTTTGTTCGATTTTGTATTCTATAACTCTACATTGTAACTTTCACAGAAAACATGTGACTTTGGCCTTGATTGCAGATTAGCAGACGAGAGGATATACATGATTTGCTACAGATGTCAGATTACATAGATCTTGTCATTCCTCGTGGATCTAAGGAGCTCATCCGCAATATCTCGGAACATAGCAATGGAATTCCTGTCTTGGGTCACAGCGAAGGCGTGTGTCACGTGTATGTGGATGTAGATGCGGACATCAAGATGGCCACTAAGATAGGTAAGTCGGTGCTGTAACATGCTACAGTTCACTTTCGTTATTGAGAATAAAAGCAAGTATTATTTCATGGTTTTAAGCTAGTCTTGTAAAATTTACAAACACGCAGAGAAAATTATAATTGTTATAGAATCTAGCCTTATTGACGAACATAATGAAAACGATTGGATTTTATTTGTATCATACACTCAAACCACAACTTGTTACAAAGAAAACCACAACACAGATTCGGCTGTTCCATCAATTAATAATGATTCAAATATTGTTTCTAAAAGGTTTCAGTAATTAATGTGATCTCAATTAATATGATATGATGGCTGTCTTAATAAATGATGGTGGGGTTAAAAAGTACTTTATGAAGTTCAGATTAAAGCAACAAAACGCTCTAAGAAATCATTATATTATCAGTGTGTGACAGCAAGTGTGACTACCCGGCCGCCTGTAACTCTGTGGAGACCCTCCTTATCCATAGCAACTTGTTCGGTTCCCACGAATTTGATACACTCGTCGACACCCTCAAACAGAATGCGGTAAGTATAGTGGCAGAGTATAACTTAAATGGTTAAAATTCATGGTGTTTATTTAGATCGATTGAAATGTAATGTTAACGGATGCGGTGTACGTGTGTCTTATCTGGTGCGATGGAGTCAAAACCCAATAAATACAGAATCCAGAATTACTCATCTTCAAATACAACTCAATTTAATGATATGGAACGATTTTGATACAATATTCTAAGTACTAGATATTTGTTTCTCTTCAGGTATGAATTGCTATGGAAAAGAAAATCGAATCCTTAGGAAAGTAAGATGATTTCACCATAAGAAAATCGAATCCAGTTTGAGTATCGTGTCATAGTAAAAATGACAACCACATGTAATCACGTATGCTTTTGCTTATGCCAGAAAAAAGGGTAGTATACATACAGTTTAAGGTGCTATCAAAAGTATTTCACTTCAGATTTCCTAACAAGTGGACTTGCAATATTTGTTTATTATTGTTTCGTTTTATTGCAGGTGAAAATATATGCTGGTCCGAGGCTGGCCAATAAGATCAAATTCGGACCTCCTCTAGCAAAATCGATGCATATTGAATATGGTGACCTTGCGATGACAATGGAGCTTGTCGATGACGTAGATGATGCAATAGCACACATCAACAAATATGGCAGTTCTCACACCGACAGCATCGTCACAGACAATGGTAATGTATTTGTTACATATATCACATGACTATAGAAAGGTCTATTTGCGGGGATTTTTATGTTGCTTTCCTTTAGTAGCTAATGTTGATCTTACTGAAGATCACGTGGGAGGTTTCTGATTTTTAAGAGCATTTGGAATAAAGAGGCACAACAAAGAGATCACAGAGCAATTACTGCACCTGTTTGATCAAACACACACTCGCTCGAAAACCAATGTAACTACACACCTCGGATCTGGTTAGGCGATCACTATGACCTATCTTTTGACCTTTGACCCAGAGAAAAAAGGAGTTTTTCCAGACTCTATTTCCTCCATAGCACTGAAACTGTTATGCATCAAAAGTAGGTTACTTTGACCTACCTTTCGACTACATCTAAGAAAGAGGATATCTGAGCTTTAGCTCATACAGTGGTTGTCACTGGCACACCACACTTGGGAGTTACCTCGGAGAGGCGGTGAGTCGGTAAATATTATCAAAGATTGTACAACAGACACACAAGTGAATAGCTTCATAATCTAGGGTGATGTATGGTAGAGCCAAACAATTACACATACATCGACTGTCATATAACCGCAAATCTCATCGATAAAGGTCAACCATTTTTCTATGTTTCTGATGTTTTCTGACTCTGTCATAATGCAGCTAAAAGTAGCCTTTACTGAGCTCCTGGACCCCTTAACATGATACTTGAAAGTAGCATTTTCCTTTCTCATATAACCTGAAATGACTCTCTTTTTTTTCTCACGTCTTAGATATTGCCTGCTTTGCAAATTCAACATCAAATAGCAAATGAAACACGCACATATAAACTAAAGTCATAGTCGCAAAAAAGGGTAAAAAACAGTGCTCTATGGCATTATACATACTTTTTTAAATCAGAAGAACAGAAAAGTTAAAATGTTAAGCCAATATTAGACCATCGTGACATCTGTTTACAATCGAAATGATAACGTCCTTTATATTGAAATAATGTAAGCAGTCGATAGTAAATTACAAAAAGAATAGAAAAACGTTAGGTAAATTTCAGATAAAATCATATATATTTAATTAGAAGTCTGAAGTAAACCTCTAACGAAAAAGTGATTTTCATTACATTTGTACCTTGTACTATCTGTAAGACAGCAGAACAATGTAAGAACCCAAAAAATATATATTTCCCTATATGTTCTTACAGAAAACGCCGCTGAACGATTTATCCAGGGGGTTGACAGCGCCTGTGTGTTTCACAATGCCAGTACTCGTTTTGCGGATGGATACCGATTCGGATTAGGTGTGACTTTTGAGATATTCAACAATTCTATTATTGTTGCACTGCGGCGGATTTCCGTCATTTCGTTATTTCGTCTTTTCACCGTGAACAGTTGAGAATTAAAAAATCCAAATTCTCGTTCTTTCATGTTTTCGCGTCGAAAAAGATAAGAATTGGTGTTTTTTAACTTTTGCCTTTTCAAAACCAAAATCGCACAAAAAACATTGTAAAATAATAATGTGTGTGAGAGGAAACAGATTACGGAAAAAGGGTGTCTCGTAATAGGGATCGATTTTGTGGAACACTAATTGTTTGGTCGATGTTAATAGTAATTTTTTTCATAGACATTTTTAGAGTTAAGAATTTAGAACAAGTTTTATCAACCATACGCTCTCTTGACCATATTTATAAAGTTTTGGCCTTTATCCCTGATCTAGGTGCTGAGGTGGGGATCAGTACCACCCGTATACACGCCCGGGGACCCGTAGGAGTGGAAGGCCTATTGACAACCAAGTGGCTTCTCCGGGGGACCGGACAGACGGTCCAGGATTTTAACAGTGGGAAGTACCAGTATATACATAAGGAACTTGAAGTCGATGATATGGAGATTCACAGAGACAACATCAGTGAAGAGATACAATCAAGAAGAGCTTGAAAACGTCATTTTGTTGAGGTAAACACTGTGTCCATGATAAATGCCCCGACTTGCAGTGTTGAAAATACATATTCCTTTCATATGAGACCTACTTCACCTCCGATAAGGATCCGAGACTCCACGATCGCTAACTTTCTCAGGAAGCAGAGGGAGAGAGAGAGAGACCTGTTCACATGACTGTGCCGTTAGACAAGAAAGTTTACTCTTATCACTCTTGATAACATAATGGACTTCCTCTATTTCCGCTGGTGCCAGCGAGACTATTTTCAGATTCGCGTTAATAATGAACACTTGATATGGAGCCAAAGGTAAAACAGCAGCATACATTTATTGTTATCAGAGATGCGAAGCAGCCTAATTTTTCAATTCAGTATGAAACAAACATTGTACAAATGGATGAGAGTCATGAAATATTCATGTCACACTTGAGCCAGTTCTGCTTAAGCTGACTGCGGGAAATCTACTGTTGGCATTTTTTTTTACATGACATAGCTTTGTAGACAAATATGGTATGATTTCATTCTAACCGCTGTTATTTACTCGGACCATGAAACTACAATATATTTCATTCACAATCGATAATACCATTTGTCAAGTGGAGCAGCCATTTTGTCGCCGTTTCCATGACCACAATAAAGGCGTTGTAATGGTCACGTGATTGGATGTTATTTCATAATGCTCTACTGAAATGCAGACATGCTAAAGAAATCTTAAACACAAATTCGACCAAAACTATGATAACAATTTACACGAGGACATCTGAAACATTGATGTCATAACGCATGGTCAATGCAGTAGAACAACGGTCAGTGTTGCTATTTGATGATATATGGAACTTGAAGCAGAACATTAATTGTATGAGGAATCTAAGGTTGAACAAAGCAACGAACCTGAACGGAATGATGAGAAGGACGGGTACATCACTTAAGTACAAGAATATCGTATATTCACATCATGTACCATTATTTTATATAGAACTCAGAACGGAAAACATAATTATAAACCTTCCATATGGGTTACACTTTATCAGAGCGGGGAGTTTTTTTTTTTTTTTTTTTTACTTGTTTTATTTTTCAAAACATTTTTCAACATGTATTGACAAATAAAAAGAACCATACACACATCTTTACACACATCATCATTATCACCACAGTAATCATCATCATCATCATCATCATCATCATCATCATCATCATCATCATCATCAATAACCATCATTACCAGTATCATTACAATGATCATCATCAGCAACATGATCATCATCCCTCATTACCATCATCATCATCATAATTATTCTTACTATCATCATTAGGATCAATATAATCATAATTATAATTATCATCCATTCATCATCAATAACCATCATTACCATTATCATTACAATCATCATCATCATCATCATCATCATCATCATCATCATCATTCTTACTATCATCATGATTATCAATATAATCATAATTATAATCATCATCATCATCATCATCATCATCATCATCATCATCATCAATTATAAATGCATTTTTGTTAACATACATTCATACACACTCGCATACTTTTACCACACATACATGTACAACCACACACATACACACGATCAAAAAAAATACACAGAAACAAAGATCGGAAAGAGAAAAAGATAAAAAAAAAAATATAAGAAAGGCAAGCACAGAGTAATAGGGCCACATGTACGATATGAGAAAGACAGGAGAGAGAGAGAGAGAGAGAGAGAGAGAGAGAGAGAGAGAGAGAGAGAGAGAGAGAGAGGGGGGGAGAGAGAGAGAGAGGGGGGGGGGGGGGGGGGGGGGGGGAGGATAGAGATGCTGGGCTAGAGACTTCCAACCACTTTATATAAGCAATAGAATTTGGGTCTCAAAGGGAAATATACCCTAATGGGAACAAATGAAAACATTGTACATGCATTAACAAGTGGAAGGAAAAACAAGACCAACAACTGCTGTATGATCAACTAATTAAATAATCTAATTAAAACCTACATGTACAGGTAATAAGGCTGTATAATGTACAAAGTTCAGGAAAAATCACAATCAAGGAGTTTTTTCCATTTTCTCCATTCAATCTAAAATTCCTGTTTATATTGTTCCCCTTGAATATTAGCAATGTATTTTTGGCAAATAAAATAATCCTTAATCAAATCAATGAAGGCAACAAGGTTTAATATCTTATGTTAGCACCTTGTTTTGTATATGTAAAATTTAATCAAAATTAGAATGATATTATCTGTCTTATTTCCTGTTTCTCTCCCATTGTTTGCAAATATACCAAAAATAAAACTTTGTTTATTAAAAGAGAATGGGATCAGAAGGGCATCAAAAAGTGTTTCTAAACTTTGCAAAAAATTCTGGGTTTCAAGGCACTCCCATGAAACATGAATAATTGTTTCTCGTTGTAAATTGCAGAGATTACAAAATGGACTATTAACAAGACCTAATTTAAACAAAAAAGTATTTGTTGTTAGAATGTGTTGTAATACCCTATATTGAAACCATTGCAGTTTTGTATGTCTTGTTACTTTGAAAGGTGTACTGAATATTTCAACCCATTTCAATTCATCATCTTCAAATGTCTTTTCCCATTTACTTCTACCTGAAGAAACAATAGATTTTTTAACAAGAAGATTATACAAGTCCCTACATCCCTTAGTCCTGTTTATAAAAAATGTAATATTAGCTGGAATTAATGGAAGAACAAGTGACTGTTGATTAAAACAAATATTTGATTTCCTTAAATATGATCTAATTGCTGAAATAACACCCTGATATTCAAGAAAATTTGGATTAACTCTATAAATCTCGGTAAACTCTTCAAAGGAGTAAAATGTGAGAGAGTCTGGGTCTTTAACTAAATCATTAACAATACTTAACCCACTATTAAACCAGGCCTTATAGAAAATTACTTTTTTTCCAATAGTAAAGTTTCTATTGTACCAAAGCGGCATTTTCAAAACATACTTTTCACTTATTTTCTTTACTTCATTAGAATTATTAAACTTTACCCATGCTCTAAATACATCTTTCCAAAATTTGTTTTTACAATTTTTTTCACAATCTTGAAGAAATCCTGTCCCACATGTAGATAATTTATGCAGATCAAAGAATGTTTTGAAAATGAGTTGCCACTTAGATGATTTCTGATAGAGCCTTCGTTTTAGTGAGTCAATAAACAGACGTACATTTACCATTTTTAGACCTCCTTCATAATAGTTCTGCGTCATGACATCCCTTTTAATTTTGTCAACCTTTCCATTCCACAAAAAATTGTAAAGAATTGAGTTAAGATTTTGCAGCAAGTGTTCATCTGAGTTAGGTATAGAAATAAATAAATGATTGAACTGAGATAATAGAAGAGATTTGATAACAGCTATTTTCCCAATAGGTGTAAGATAACTTCTAGCCCAGGTTTTAATTAGTGTTTTAAGTTTAATTAGTTTTTTTTATCAAAGCTCAACTTAGGAATTTCATGCAAATTTACACTAAATTCTATTCCAAGTAAAGTAAATCTAACCCTTCCCCACTGTAAATTTAATTCAGGTAAAAAAGAATCACTAATGTAACTTTTACTTCCTATCCACACAACTTGTGTCTTATCAATGTTAAGTTTTAAACCCGATATTCTTGCAAATTTATTCAACTCAACAATAGATTCCTTCAATGATAATTCAGAGCCATCAAGTATTAATGAGGTGGCATCTGCATATTGTGTTATCAGGATTGGACAATTACTCACTTCTATACCCTTGATCTTTTTATTGTTTCTAAATCTGATTCCTAGAACTTCAACACAAAGAAGAAAGATGTAAGGGGCGATCGGATCGCCTTGACGACATCCTCGTTAAAATTTGACAGGTTACCACCCTGGTTAACAGCAGCTGAAACATTAGTTATGAAATAACTTAACCCAATTACGAACCTCTGGACCAAAATTGAAATAATCAAAAACTTTATCAACAAATTTCCAAGACACAGAATCAAAGGCTTTTCCAAAGTCTAACATTAATAACATTCCTGGAATATTCATATCTTCAGCAAACTGCATTATATCATATACAAGCCTAGTATTCTACCCTATGTACCGACCTGAAAGAAACCCTGTTTGATCTTCACATATTAACTTATCTAGAACTGCTTTTATCCTACTTGCTATACAGGCTGAAGCAATTTTATAACTAATATTTAATAGAGTAATTGGTCTCCAATGTTTTAAAAACTGTCTAGGTTTATCTCCCTTAGGAATGCATATGATGACACCTTGTCTTTGAGTAACGGAAAGTAAGCCTTTTTTGTATCCACAATTTATAGATCTAACAATAAAAACACCAATCTGCTTCCAAAAACCTTTTAAAAAACTCAACGGTATATCCATCACTACCAGGACTTTTATTGTTCTTCATGTGTTTTAATGTTCTCGTCTAGAGTAACTAATCCTTCTAAGTCTTCTGCCTCCTTTTTATCTAGTTTTGGAACAACCGATGAGTATAAAAATTCTGATAAGTCTATATCCTCTATTTCTGAACTACTATCATCATATAATTTTTCATAATAACTACGTATTTCTTCCAATATCTCATCTTGTTTTGTTATAATACTATGCTCTTTTTCTAGTTTTGATATGATCTTGGAGACAAAATTCCTATTTTCTAAATTCAAAAAATACATAGTTGGTTTTTCTCCTTCTTCTTGCCATCTAACTCTGGATTCAATAACGCTACCTTTAACTTTACTAACTCTAATAGTTTCCAATTCTTTTTTCTTAGTTTCTAACTCCTCAGAATCTACCTGCTCTTGCTCTTCCAAATCTTGTATAGTTTTCTTTAAGATATCTTCATTTAAATTTTGCAGTTTCTTTTTATATGATGAATAGGATATTATTTTCCCCCTTATTTCCATTAATAATGTTTCAAGAAAAATCTGATCATCAATAATAAATTCAATATCTGTATCTGAAATATTATCAATAGTATCTCTGTTGTACACTGGAAGACAATACTGTCTTTTTGTATCAGAAATTACTTTTTTAACCAAATCAAGATATTTTTCATCAAAAAGTAATGACGAATTAAATTTCCATAATCCTTTACCACGTCTAAACTCATTAAATTTTAATTTCAAAATAGGAAAAGAGTGGTCTGATCTATAGCCTTGATCTATTTCTGAGCTGTTTACACTTGATAATGAATTATCTGAAGTAAGAAAAAAATCCAATCTCGCCTGCAGTGCGGGGAGTTTTGAGCGACATTGTGTCTACGTCGTTACTATTAAATGTATATACACATTGTTTTTCGTTTTATATCTTATCACATCGAAAAGTGTATCACTAAAATAATTTAACGATATCTCCAATTCCGTTGATGATGTCGCTAATTCATTATGGTAATAGATAAATCATTTTATTACATTTTTAGCAGTGAAATATAGGGATATCTCAAACTGATAAAAGTGATATTTTTCACTAGTGAAACTTTGAGGATTGACCAATCAGAGAGCCCGATACAAATCTATTGTTTTTATTTTTTCAGTTAACGTTTAAACCAATTTATTGTGTATAAATGACATCAATAAATTACAAAATCCATGTCCAAACACAAATAAACATTTATTATGACTTATGTATGAGTCTGTATATTTTTTTCTGATTTTTCATAAAATGGACGATTTTTTGCCGCGCACAACATCGTTATATAATGAGTAAGTAGTGTCTGAAAAAAGCATGGTCAACTTACCCATTTTATAGCTATCGTAAGTTTGCCATTGTTTTGGTTTATTTTTGCGATGAAAATGTAATAAACAGAATATTTGATAGTGTCTTCAGTAATAACAAATAAATTTCACTCGTGCTTCGCACTGAAGGATACCAAAATATTAGCCACACCAGTGAAATATATTTGTTATTACTGAAGAAACTATTAAATATCCTATATATAGTAGTGATATCAAAACAACTTTTCTATATTACCATGAACATTCAGATGTATAACTGTAAAAATGAGGTGATATCACTCAAACAGTCATTGAGCAATATTTATCATTTATTATATTGAGATGGTGTAAGACAGTTGTGCAATACCAGTTCATGTACAGCGTATGAACATCTTAAGTAATGTAAAGAAATTGAAAGTTGCCTCCCTTTATACATGAAAAATGCTGACATTTTAAAATAAACATGTAAGTATTGAATTTCTTGGCAATATGAATAACATTAGAATACTGGCAAAATCCATCAAAGGCATTTAACCACAAGAAAGCAATTCTATGCTGAACGATGTTTGAAATACATTTTTGAAATAATTAAATATGAAAAATGCAACGTAATAATACTATATTTGTGAGTTTGCTATTACGAAATCAATTTTAGAAGCTATCACTGAACGGTAACGTTTTTTAGTAAACATTTAGCTTGTAGACTATTGGTGACGGCATCGTAGACTTCGTGACTCGGTAAACAGTGTCAACAATTTCAACGTAATGGTAAATATCTTAACTTTAATCAAATTTTGCTCCAATCATATATTTAAAATACACGAATTCTGATTGAGTGGATCACTTTTCTTGGATTTTATGGCTGTACTCCATCTTGAACAAACTCCAAGGTGTCAAATGAGAACATATGGCTTTTGTATCACATATTTTTGAAAATAATAAATTTTGTTAAAGCTGGGTAGGTGTTTCGACATTTCAGGACTACACAGTATCACTGTTTATGATGCTTTGCTACAACTGATTATTTGTTCACCATTATCTTCGGTTGTTTATGATCTCAAGTTATGTTTGTATGACTGCTTTTTTTTTTTTTTTTTTTTGTCTGTTTTTGTTTTTGTTTTGTTTTTATTTTTATCTTTATTGTTGAAATACACGCTCTTTTGAGTCGCCTATAATATGTTTACTGTCGTCGTACATTTATCGTTTCTTGAGTTGCGAAGGATGATATTTCGATGTCTTCTTTCCAATTTTAGTATGTGGGCAAATTAATATTGTGGCATTTTCCGATTCCATCCATATACAATTTTCTTTTCTGTACTTTACCCTTTTCGAACTGTTCTTTGCTCAAGTCTTTTACATCCATACGGCTTAAGTCACTTACATTAATGCTTCCACGCACCTGATACTGCAGTTATTCTTTACTGATCACAGATATAGCGTTGAACTAGCTTACTTTGTAGTGTATTGAAATCCTTAATAAAGCCGATAATTGTCAGAGCATGGTTATATACGAAGACGAAAAATAAACAGAAATGATCAATTTTCTTGCAAGAAATTATTTATTCAAAGAACTACAGAAAGCTGATAACTAATGTTAGGCCAAAAGTTATTGTGAAATGTAGGGTTGAATTAATCCAGTTGTCGGTGGCAAAACAAGGTTAGCATGTGCATAATGAAAAAAGTTTATTCAAATCCTTGAACGCATTACTTTACATGACGATAAGAAGTGAATCCATCAAGCTTAACTCTCCTTATAGATATGACACTGAGTCATGCTATACTCCTTTCTGATATCAGATGTCAAACTGCTGACCATCAGGTGAAACTGGCGTCCATAATGATTTTTGATGTTAGGCTTTACTTTATAAGAGGAAATAAACATATTTGATTAATTATAATATATAAGTTGTCCATGTTGTCGGTGAATCGTCTTAAGCATCCGTTGGTGGTTGTCTAATGTGTGTCGCTTTACTTGCCAACTGCTCCAGAAGTACCACAAACAAAAGAAATAAAAGTTTAAACAGATTTCATTACACTGGGAATGATCATGATGTTATATGATCACGCCCAGAACACGTGAGTAAAAGTTGGAATCAAAACTTAAGAAAGTGGTATCTGGAGCTTGTTTTATCTAAACTCCATCATAATCTTAAATTTCGACATATCAAGAACAGATACAGAACAATTAAGTAATGGTTTTGCCTTATTGATTGATACGTTGCAATAGATATTATTATAAATGATGTATATTATGTTATTTTTCAAACGAAAATTTACAATTGTAGGGAGACATATTGACTGATGTGTCAAGCTAAACTCTTATGTATACATTTCGATTGATGTGTCACACTAAACAGTAGCCAGATTTTTTTTCAAACTTATTCATATAGTAATATAATATGGTTTATGATTATTAGGTATAACATGATAAAGTACTAGATTTACCTAAACGACAGTGGGCTTTAATTGATAAATATCAACACCTTGATACATATATGTATATAATATCTAGCCCCGAACTGTTTAAACCTGATTTTCACCACGACATAATTAAAGACAAATAGCATAGCGTATGAAAAAATGACGCAATGAGGGATACGGTGTACATTAAAAGGTAAATGTTTAAATGTAAAATACAAGTACAGTGTAGTTTTGATTTGTATGTGCCGATGTTGAAAAAACGGCAACTGACAATATCACTACAGATTTAATCGTAATTCTAATTTACCAGTTAACAGAGAACACGATATACACTTGTAAAAAGAGGAATTACCTTGATATTGTTCTAGTTGGTCCAATTCTTTCATGAAAGAGAGACAATTCAAAGACTACAAATGTCTTTCTACAATGGATGTAGAAATCTGAGAATATGTTTTCCGGACAAGAGGATATATGCATAAGGATATATATGTGTATGTACGGAGAAACATCTGTTTTTGTATTTCCTCTCATTAAACATACATATTATATGATCTTAAATCATGTTTGTTTCAGAAATGTTGCAGGCATGATACAGATATGGAACAGTATACAAATTTCGATTGACGTTTTTCTCTTGCATTAATCATATAATTGAAGTAACATTTACTTGATCGATTTGTAAAGTTCATGACTTAAAGATATTACCGATATTTTCATACCAGACAAGTATCAATTGTCAATTAAGAACTTCACTGCTTTAAAAAACTGTAGTCAATTTTCTGATTGTCACAGTCTTGAAAATAATATTCAATATCAATATTTCCCTTACTGTCACAAAAAGTGTTTTACCTGGATTTCCATTCAGATCTGCTTCAAAGTGGTCTAGGATTTCCATGAAACAAAATTAAATTGTACATATTTTTTATACATCTGTAAAAAATGTTGAGTGATTATTACGTATAACATGATAAAGTACTAGATTTACCCAAACGACAGTTTGCTTTAATTGATAATTATCAACACCTTTGATACCGACATGTATGTAACATCTAGTTCCGAACTGTTTACACTTGATTTTCACGACGATGTCAAAAGGAGTTTCCCGAATGAATGAGCGGACATTCGAAATCGAAACGTTAATGGAAATTATAAAACACGCACGATCAATCAAAATAAAATTATTTTACCATGATGTTCATTAAAACAGTAACGCAAAACACCGCCAATTCTAATTTCCTCTGGGCAAAAGTGTTATAACCAATAACTTGAATGCGTACCGTTGGGAAATATAGTTAAAGAAAAATGCATCATTTAAAATTCGCTATTTCAAGTTTTTCCCATCCATTCCAAATTATTCTTTAGTTTCTGTTTGTGCCATATTGTCTTATTTGATCAGGCTGGGGTGGGTTGACAGAGCTTACCTAACCCAGTGCCTGTTTCGAAATTTTCGAAAAAAACAGTTTTTGGGATGTACTTGTACAAGAATTTTAAATATGCAACCAATTTTGTGTTTATTTATGCTTTTGAATATAAATAATGCTGTATTTTCATGTTTGCCTATGACTAAGGATCAAGATAGTGAAATGAATTACTCCGCGTCATTATTCGGTTGTCTATGTCAGAGATGGTGGATGCATAAACAGTATTGAAAAGAAAACTTTTGCTGACACTTTCGATAATTTACATGCATGTTTAAAGATAAAAAAGAACTAAAAATATCTAATTGATATGTACTACTGCTACACTTCTACATAGCTACTACTGCCAGACAGACACATAGTTCGATAATAAGGACTAAACTGGTATATCTGTGCTACCAAGTACATTATGATATCAATGGAATTTTACATCTACAATACTACTACACACATTGATATGTGCATGTTAATTCACACAACACATTGACGTGTACATCTTCAAAAATCACAGACACACATTGTTATGTACAATATAACACAACTCATTGTTCTGTACATGTACGACATCACACAACACACTTGTATGTACATGTACGACATCACACAACACACTTGTATGTACATGTACGACATCACACAACACACTTGTATGTGCATTTACGATATCACACAACACATTATCCTCTGTCAGCTAAGGAACTCAGCTAGCTCTCTCAACTTTGATTTACATAATAATCACTTGATAGAATATCCCTCATGTGCTTGTGGTGCACCACTTGAAACTGTACAACATTATTTCTTTGAATGTCCAAGATATGTAACTTACCGTCAAGATTTGTATCATTCTCTATATCAACATGATCATCCTCATTATGAATTAGATTTTATTCTTAACGGCTGCCAAGATTGTGATATTGATATTAATAAATCAATATTAGCCTCTGTAATTAGCTATATTATTGGCACAAAAAGATTTTGCAAATTATAAAAGTTTTTAAAATTATAAATTATGAATATGAATTTGTATACTTGGTTAGATATTGAAGAATTCTGATATTCTAATTATCATTTATTCCTAAAATAGGGATATAACTCTCTAATGTTAAAGCAGAAAATCCTCTATATTTTGGAAAAAATAATTCTATTCTACAGTAATGCACGTTCAGGTATACTTGCTTCTCCATTAGATAGGATGAGGGTCAACTTTATTACTATGGACACTCATGGCCCAATATTCCTGTCAGTATGGAGGAGCAAGTGTACCGTAAGTGTATTAATTCAGTTAAAATATTTCTAAATTTTACAGATCAGATTATTTTGTATTTTGAATTATATACCAAATTAAGTAAGAGTTATCTCCCTTCTAAGGTTTCTCTGTGTATTTATCTGTATGTGTGTGTGAGGGTGTGTATGGGAGAGAGGGTGTGTATGTGCGTGTGAGGGTGTGTGTATATATGTATGTCTATATGTGTGTTTGTATGTGTGTATCCACTGTAAGTTACTGTATGCTATACATGTACATGTAAGTATGTAGGTTTGTGAGTGTGAAAGAGAGGGAGTATGTATGTGTGTTTGAATCTGATCAGTGTAACTGTAATTGACCACCTGTGTTGTCCCAGGAGAAGACTTATATAGGCACTAGCCTGCTGTCTAATCCTATTAATACTTTGTATTAATAAAATGTTTTGAAATCACGACATCACACAACACACTTGTATGTGCATGTACGACATCACACAACACACTTGTATGTACATGTACGACATCACACAACACACTTGTATGTACATGCACAACATCACACAACACACTGGTAGGTACATACACAACATCACACAGCAAAATGAGGTGTACATTTACAATATCACACAACACACACGTCATTTTTATTTCATTAGAATGCTATATCTACCTGATTGTAAAGTCTGGAGTTTCTTGGCCGTCTCTAGGGCATGTCCTGTAAACAATTTTATGAAACAGTACAATAATTAAGTTTTTAAAATGACCCGATGATTACGGATATATCAGATATCTCATAAATATGACAAACCAAATACATTACTTAAAAAAATCATCTGATAAGCATTTCTCTCAGTTGTCTTTACGGTCGTTACCAAGGAATTTTATTCTTTATTTCACTTAGTTTGATAAGTTCATGATTCAATGGTTTTATCATTTAACACAATTAACAAAAAACTTGCCTATTTCTGCAGTCAGATTGAACTTTCCCTCCTCCGTCCCAAGGAAAGTTTCTATGTGGTATATAGAAACACACATTAGGATAATTTATATTAGTATCAGGTACATACCATTTCAATAATAATTGAAAATAAAATTAATGTTGTAATCCAAAATGTTTGCAGAGACGGTTAGTCGACAGAATTCAGATTCGATTCGATCACAATTTTTTAAAGTTGTTCACTTAGAGATAATTTACCAGTGGGAGCATTTTCCAGTGATATTCATTAATGAAATATTTCAAGCTTCTTTATTATGCTTTGATTTTTAAAAATGATATAATATACAAAATGAAAATAGTTTGCAGCTAAAGCATGAAACCTATCATAGATATCGATTATGAGACTAGAATTAATGACCGTATAGATGTCGTCAGTCTGGTATTAACTGGAATCAACATTGATCTCTCCTGTCTTTTACTTATAGATATGCAAATCATGAAACATACTATGAAATATCAGTTTGCTTGTTGGCTGGGTTTATCTTCCCGCGAATAGCCAGGACCCCATTTATATGGGGATTCCATAATGAGCTGATTGATTATTCACTGAACAGTCGACAGGAGGCCCGTCGCAGAAACTGTAACGGGTAGGCAGCATCGAACGACGCATCCCGGAACTACACCTGTAGTTACTTAAGCCAGCACCCTGCCTTTTAGATGTTAATTATTGCATTTGATACGAAAAAAAGTTCGGCAATGCCGTTTTCAATTCGAACCAATTCGAGTTGTTTCCTGCTGTTTAAGTAGATAACATAAACATGTACTTACGAAAAATGAAGTTGTTTATTCCAAATTCTACAAAAAAAAAATTCAAGTTCTACCACAGACAAACACAAAAAAATTCATAGTCATCAGTAATAGTTCTACCAGTTTCAACAAAATAAAACATAAATAAACTCCTTGTCATTAATTCCAGTTCTACCACAAATAAAACACAAGTAAATTCCTAGTCATCAATGCCAGTTCTACCACAAATAAAACACAATGAAACTCCTAGTCATCAATTCCAGTTCTACCACAAATAAAACACAAGTAAATTCCTAGTCATCAATTCCAGTTCTACCACAAATAAAACACAAGTAAACTCCTAGTCATCAATTCCAGTTCTACCACAAATAAAACACAAGTAAACTCCTAGTCATCAGAGATAGCTCTACCACAAATAAAACTCAATTCAATTCCTATTCATCAATTCCAGTTCTACCACAAATAAAACACAAGTAAACTCCTAGTCATCAATTCCAGTTCTACCACAAATAAAACACAATTAAACTCCTAGTCATCAATTCCAGTTCTACCACAAATAAAACACAATTAAACTCCTAGTCATCAATTCCAGTTCTACCACAAATAAAACACAAGTAAACTCCTAGTCATCAATTCCAGTTCTACCACAAATAAAACACAATGAAACTCCTATTCATCAGAAATAGTTCTACCACAAATAAAACACAATTAAATTCCTAGTCATCAATGCCAGTTCTACCACAAATAAAACACAATTAAACTCCTAGTCATCAATTCCAGTTCTACCACAAATAAAACACAATTAAACTCCTAGTCATCAATGCCAGTTCTACCACAAATAAAACATTATTAAGATTCTAGTCATCAATTCCAGTTCTACTACAAATAAAACACAATTTGTCTTGAAGTAAATATAAATGTATAAAACAATATTTTCGTCGATTTTGATTAAGATCTTGTAAAGCTATTTTAAGCTGCTTTGTTTACTCTCTGAAATTCGATGGTTTAAGAAAATTAATCATTTCTACGAAAAAGCAAAGTTGCGATCTTCATTATGGACACAGCTAATTATTTGTAATTCACTAAAATAATTTTCAATTCATGTAAAAATTTACTCAGTATGTTGTTTGCAAATAAAAGCTTCATATATGTGTTATTTTTAAATAACAGATTCAGGGAGACCGAAATCTGCGTCAACTTACCAATCATCAAGGCCTGAATGTTCAAAACATCTGTAAAATGGATTTAATTATAGTTAAATCAATTGTCATATCTGAACTTTATAATGCTGATAGAAAAAACAAAAATATAAATCAAAACCACACGCCCACGTGTGAATAAAACAATAAATTGTACCACGTTAAGTCCTTTAAAACACACGTTCGATATTGAATGTAATTTTTACATAGTATAAGAGATTGTGAATTATTTAGTTTTACTGTTAAAAGTTGTCGTAAATTTCACTTCTTAAAGGGAATATATGTAACAGGTTCGATCCTCACATGATTAAGAGGAGATCGGAGTACCTGGAGCAAAATATAAAGTGATCAAGAATAGCGGTCTGTAAGGGGAAATATTATTTGTCTTATTTTTTATATATATTTGGTATAAAATATTGAACGTTCCTATATAGATAAACAATATGTCCATGTTTATGAAACTCGTTTGAAATGTTTTTATCAAAAACATGCTTATCGTATGACTTAAAGTGAATTACGGATGGTACTTTCTTTGTTTAAATTGTTATACGACCGATCGTCATCTTAGGTCACAAGACACTAGCAAAAAAAATTTCCCAAGAAGTAAAGGATTACAATAAAATGAATTCTTTCATGTTAAAACGGTATGACTGTTGTGCATACATATTTAATGGTACACTGCATTCTATTACTTCAAACCAATGTTATTTATTTATTTATTTTTTTTTTTTTTTTGAAATTTCATTTAAATTTAAATTAATTCCAATAGCCTCGACTGGCTACATCATTTAATCGGTAGGCATAAGAAAAAGTCTACCTCATTATTGCGTTCACAACCTTTTAGAATTTCTTAATGAATTACAATTGGAAAGCGAATCGTTGTTAAAGAGTGCGTCTCCTTTAGCAGAAATTCCTTTGTTTCAACACAGAAATTTGAAGCTGGTGAGTTACACAAAATAGGTAATGATCACTATGATGATCAGCCGTCTTGAAATATAACTTACTAGTCATTAATCTTCCATCAAATGGCAGTATGCCTTGTTCGAAAAAGTGCGTATGAGCCAAAGACAAAATACCACCCTTGACTCCTTAAGAAAGATACAACATTTGCTATTGTATAAAAGCGATAATAATCACACATGGTGCATCTAAATTCTTTGGATGTCGCAGTCATGACGTTGTGTGGCGAAAACCAGATAAGGCAAGTAGAATCAACAATGATATCAATTTAAGAAAATTAATAACATTCACTTCATATATGCGATGCCTAGCCGCATTGTACGTGATCCGGATGGCAATAACGGCAACCTAAATTCTGATTGGCTCCTACTTTCCCAGATGTGACCCCTAAAATTAAACTAAACTGTATTTACTATGACATTTCTATTTGTGGTAATACTGTATTGTACCGTATTTAACTACACAAAAAAATGGCTATGGAAAAATCTTTCGTCGCAAAACTACATAACAAAAATATACAGTTATATTTATTGTCCTCATGAAGATGAAAAACTGACACTACATCTGTCAATAGACCGCTGCATAGAAACTGACATTATTTGTTCTGTGTCTTTTAGTTGGAATATGTTTTTACCTTCGATAGCATCCGCGAGACCATGGAATGATCCGAAGTTTTTTCCTTTAAGCTGCTCCATAGCGTTTGTTTCTACTTCACTGGCCTGCTCAATTTCCGTTTCTGAACCATTGTTACTCTCGCGTTTTGTTGGGTGTGCCTTTTTAACATCAGCTCTTTTTTGCATCAGTCTAGAGATAAGTGATACTAGGTTTTCGTCGATTGAAATATCCTTGGTATCACCGTTGGCAGCCTTTGGAACATATTATTGACATTCTCAATTAGAAGTGATATTGTGAAACAAAGAGCATTGTCTAATTATCAAATGCGTAATCAAGCACTTGAGCGCACAAAAAAATAAATAAGAAAAAATCAAGATAGTGAAAGCAGACATAAATAAAGTATGCCTGTTTCTTAATCAGTTAATTATATATAATATGCATGTACTTCAGATATTTTGATATAACAATATCGATTACATTTAGAGTATCGGGTAGACGAGGCCGTGATAATATAAACACATTATGTTTGAAAAGGATAATGTTAGCATGAAATTAACGACCACTGAAACAAAACAATCAGCTATCCAGAATGTCTTCTGATACCTACTAAAGACATTTTTTATAGACATATGTCTGGTACGGAGTTTCAAATAAGGCATTTTTCTGTTAAAACGAATTAGTCTGGTAATAACTGCATGAAAATTCGGTTAAAGGAAAGCAGGATTCCAGACTATCATCAAAACGCTTTCTCATAAGACAAGCTGAAAGAAATCAGAAAATGTTCCCTCCATCATTAAATCCTGGTATCAAAAAGTTCATGAATGATGAGTTATTAGATTAAGTACTCACCTTTAGTTTACTTAATGCAGCCATTCTTCTGCTATTGGACACGTAAGCGTCCGTAACAGCCAGACTGATTATTACTACAACAAGTATTCTCAACATCATGGGAAAGGACAGTGCACGCAGATATTAACTCCAAATCTAGAAAGTGAAACAGCAGCGCTTGGCCGCGGGCTTTATACTACCCTCGGCGTAGCAGGTAAACACCCACGTATAACTCTCTTTAGTCAGGTGTGTAAATCACGCTTTCTATGCATGACCATGCACCTGTAAACTGTGTGAGATCAACACCTGTTGCCACCATTCTTTATGATACCCCTTGTGAGAAGTCAGGTGTGAAATCAGTTTTGAAAATCATCACACCATAGAAAACAATGTTCATATCCTTTGCTACCTCATGTGGGATGTATTCCTTTAGGTTGAGGTAAAATATTGTTAAAGCCATATCAAGGGATATTAAAGAGTACCAAATAATGCCACATAATTTACAGATACTCCTCGGTGAGCATTAATTATCATACTGTCAGTAAACAAAGCTTCCCCTTATGTACAGCCTGTTATAATGCACTGCATGTTATGTTGCTATTAAAGAAAGTATTTCTTATGTACTGCATGCCATATTGCAATTAAAAAGAGCTTCCCTAGTTACTGCGACCCATACTTCATTTGGGAAAAGCTTCCCTATTTATTGCATGCTATTCTGCAATTGCAAACAAGTTCCTTAGTTACTGCATGTCATACTGCAATTACGAAAAGCTTCCCTAGTTACTGCATGTCATAATGCAATTACGAATAGCTTCCCTAGTTACTACATGCCATAATGCAATTAAGAAAACCTTTCCTAGCGATAAGATAAAGCATACCATACTGCAATTAAGATTTTTCCTGGTCACTGCGTGCCATACTGTAACTTAGAAAACTTCCCTAGTTACTGTATGACATACTGCAATATGTAAAAGCTGCCCAGTTACTGCATACCTTAATGCAATTACGAACAAACTTCCCTAGTTACTGCATGTCATACTGCAATTAAGAAAAACTTCCCTAGTTACTGCATGTCATACTGCAATTACGAACAAACTTCCCTAGTTACTGCATGTCATACTGCAATTAAGAAAAAACTTCCCTAGTTACTGTATGTCATACTGCAATTACGAACAAACTTCCCTAGTTACTGCATGTCATACTGCAATTACGAACAAACTTCCCTAGTTACTGCATGTCATACTGCAATTACGAACAAACTTCCCTAGTTACTGCATGTCATACTGCAATTAAGAAAAACTGCCCTAGTTACTGCATGTCATACGGTAATTACGAATAGCTTCCCTAGTTACTGCATGTCATAATGCAATTAAGAAAAACTTCCCTAGTTACTGCATTCCATACTGCAATTAAGAAAAACTTCCGTAGTTACTGCATTCCATACTGCAATTAAGAAAAACTTCCCTAGTTACTGCATGTCATACAGTAATAAGAAAAAGCTTCCCTAGTTACTGCATGTCATACTGCAATTAAGAAAAACTTCCCTAGTTACTGCATGTCATACTGCAATTACGAACAAACTTCCCTAGTTACTGCATGTCATACTGCAATTACGAACAAACTTCCCTAGTTACTGCATGTCATACTGCAATTACGAACAAACTTCCCTAGTTACTGCATGTCATACTGCAATTAAGAAAAACTTCCCTAGTTACTGCATGTCATACGGTAATAAGAAAAAGCTTCCTAGTTACTGCATTCCATACTGCAATTACGAACAAACTTCCCTAGTTACTGCATGTCATACTGCAATTACGAACAAACTTCCCTAGTTACTGCATGTCATACTGCAATTAAGAAAAACTGCCCTAGTTACTGCATGTCATACAGTAATAAGAAAAAGATTCTTAGTTACTGCATTCCATACTGCAATTACGAATAGCTTCCCTAGTTACTGCATGTCATACTGCAATTAAGAAAAACTTCCCTAGTTACTGCATGTCATACAGTAATAAGAAAAAGCTTCCTAGTTACTGCATTCCATACTGCAATTAAGAAAAACTTCCCTAGTTACTGCATGTCATACTGCAATTAAGAAAAACTTCCCTAGTTACTGCATGTCATACAGTAATAAGAAAAAGCTTCCTAGTTACTGCATTCCATACTGCAATTAAGAATAGCTTCCCTAGTTACTGCATTCCATACTGCAATTAAGAAAAACTTCCCTAGTTACTGCATTCCATACTGCAATTAAGAAAACCTTCCCTAGTTACTGCATGTCATACTGCAATTACGAACAAACTTCCCTAGTTACTGCATGTCATACTGCAATTAAGAAAAACTTCCCTAGTTACTGCATTCCATACTGCAATTACGAATAGCTTCCCTAGTTACTGCATGTCATACTGCAATTAAGAAAAACTTCCCTAGTTACTGCATGTCATACAGTAATAAGAAAAAGCTTCCTAGTTACTGCATTCCATACTGCAATTACGAATAGCTTCCCTAGTTACTGCATTCCATACTGCAATTAAGAAAAACTTCCCTAGTTACTGCATTCCATACTGCAATTAAGAAAAACTTCCCTAGTTACTGCATGTCATACTGCAATTACGAACAAACTTCCCTAGTTACTGCATGTCATACTGCAATTAAGAAAAACTTCCCTAGTTACTGCATTCCATAGTGCAATTACGAATAGCTTCCCTAGTTACTGCATGTCATACTGCAATTAAGAAAAACTTCCCTAGTTACTGCATGTCATACAGTAATAAGAAAAAGCTTCCAAGTTACTGCATGTCATACTGCAATTAAGAAAAACTTCCCTAGTTACTGCATTCCATACTGCAATTAAGAAAAACTTCCCTAGTTACTGCATTCCATACTGCATTTAAGAAAAACTTCCCTAGTTACTGCATGTCATACTGCAATTACGAACAAACTTCCCTAGTTACTGCATGTCATACTGCAATTAAGAAAAACTTCCCTAGTTACTGCATTCCATACTGCAATTAAGAAAAACTTCCCTAGTTACTGCATGTCATACTGTTACTGCATGTCATACTGCAATTAAGAAAAACTTCCCTAGTTACTGCATTCCATACTGCAATTAAGAAAAACTTCCCTAGTTACTGCATTCCATACTGCAATTAAGAAAAACTTCCCTAGTTACTGCATGTCATACTGCAATTACGAACAAACTTCCCTAGTTACTGCATGTCATACTGCAATTAAGAAAAACTTCCCTAGTTACTGCATTCCATACTGCAATAACGAAAAGTGTTTCCTAGTAAATGCCTGCCATACACCAAACACGAAAAAGCTTCCTCAGTTACTGCATGCTTTAATGCAATCAGGAAAAGCTCCCTAGTTACTCTATGTCATAATGCAATTACGAAAGACCTTCCCTAACAATCAGAAAAAGCATGCCATACTGCAATTAAGATCTTCCCTGGTTACTGCGTGCCATACTGTAACTTAGAAAACTTCCCTAGTACCTGCATGCCTTAATGCAATTACGAACAAACTTCCCTAGTTACTGCATGCAATACTGAAATTAATGAAAGCTCTCCTTGTTTCTTCATATCATACTGAAACATTTTCTCTTGTCTCCCTTATGGTATCATGGACATGTTGTATAGATGTATCTTAAATATTGGTATTGACATTGCAGTCATTCAAAACCTGATCTTTTAATGATGTTAATGATTTTATTTTGATATTTTTGATGATTAAAGCTTATTTCTGGGCTCTACATTATATATATAATTTTATGAATGAGCATCAAAAAATCCCCGAAAATTTGATGATTTATAGATAAAAGCTTTGTGTATGGCATCATGCTAGTTTTATTTTATTCCGTGCTATCACTAGTATATAATCCATTCATAACCTTTGTGTAGCACTAAGTCATCTTTGAAGTCATTAGCTACAAGAAGTCATCATGTGGAATATACAAATGTACAAAATTAGGTCAAACAATGCAACTTTAACCAACATGACAACCATTTGAGATAACCATATTAAGTAATCTAAAAACAGAAACAAAAAACGGGACCCAAAATATAATGTAAGTAAGCAAGAAAATAAAGGAAATGAGAGGCATTATTTCAAAATCTCACTCTCTAGTTACATCATGTTATATATGATATAAGACGGAATTAAAGATGTCTACTTGTGTCAACTGGTTAATATTTATTATTAATATATCATTTTAAAGTAACTTTAAACAACACGTCGAATTTATTTCACTGGACACAGTGAATTCAACCTTTATAACTGAATAAACACGTTTATTATCGATATAATTTATATATCTCAACCAATTCTGTTTTTTTTTTCTTTTTTTTTTTAATTTTCAAAAAAATGCTTTTTATACTGTAGAAAGTTTCCAGTTGTAATCTGATACTTCTCTTAAAAGGCTGCATAACTTAAAATCGCTGTTCTTTGATCTATATCTCCATCATTAACTATATTTTGTAAATACCGTGCGTTAAGGATCATTGTTGATCTTAAAATTTCAATTATATCAAATATGTGATATTTAACGGAATGTCGAAATTTGAAATATTCGTCATTTTTGCTACTTTGTTGTGCTTCAAAAACATCTCTCCAAAATAGAATCTTTGTTTCTGAATCTTTCTTTATGTATAGAAATGCCATTCCTAAATCTGCTATTTTCAGTTGATAAATTTCCCCCATTAGATTCAACCATACCTTGTCTCCAGAAATGTCGTTTCTAGCACATATGCAAAATTTTCCAGGTCTACCTTCACAATAGTCTTGAATAATTGTCGAGCATTTTATTCGATCAATTGGTGATTGCCAGACAAAAATTTTCATTTGTTTTGTTCAAAGATTAAATAATATCTTTACTGGGAAAAGTAAGTAATGTAGGCAAATGATTCATTAAAGTAAAGATAAAGAATTCTCATATAGTTGTTAAAACTCTTCTTGACCATTGAAGTAACTTGTTGTCTATATGAGTTATAGCTTTGTTTAAATTAGAAGCAACCATGATTTTACTTGTGTGCATGTACGTGTGGCTGATTTATACCTATGATTTATACCTATGTTCAGTAACCTGTACGGTGTGGCTGATTTATACCTATGTTCAGTAACCTGTACGGT